CTGATATACCCTATATTTTACCACTTTTACTATCTATTTTACTATGACTTTTACATTTATTAATAAAGCTTTTCGACCAAAAGAGGTAGTTTTCTCGTATTTGTAGATTTTAAGGTCTTAACAGGTTTTATCATCAAAAGAATGTAAAATGGAGCAAAAAGAGTGTCATCTATGATCCAGCTACTCATTCAAGTCAAAGGAACCAAGCCAAGTCGTTTTATCCTGAAGATAATGCATATTCTCAAACTGGACAGAACAAATATACCAGAAGTTCGCTGATGAATGGAGGATCAACTCAATTGGGAATTTAATGAAACTTGGTATGGAGATATCCATTTGAGTTAGCTTTCCAATGGAGTTTAAATTTCATCAATTGGAGCTGTACTTTAGAAGATACACTAGAAACACTGAGGACATGTCAAACTGCCTTCGAAGTGAAGTGAGTGCACAAGGAAGCCAAGCATCGGGCCGCCCATGGGCCGATGATCCAGACCTTTTCTGGCCTTCTAGAAGTACCAAGGAAGCCTCTAATACCGGTCATGAAGCCCGACCATTATTGTGACTGGTATTGCCTCAGTTTCGACTAAAGAGACGTTTTTACCCGAAGAAGCCCTAGCCGACTTAAGCCTCTTTAAACCCCTATATATACTTGCCTTTAGCCTCTCTAGGAACTTAAGCAGCCGGCCATAACAGCCTAAATCAATACCTAAACATGTATTTCATTTTTCTCTTGTTCTTAATGCATATTTGATTCTAAAAGCCTCTAAGGAGAGATTGACTTTGCCCTATTGCGAAGAGATGAGATCTAACTCCTTACGCTTTGTAGATCAACGATTTATCTTTATATTTATGTGCTTTACTCTTGATGCTACGTGTTGCAAAACATGTTAGAGTACTAGCTTGATTTGATTTCTATGCACCTTCTTAATTCTATGCTTTTACGTACTTAATCGATTAGAGTTTTATTCTAGAATTGATTCTTCATCTTTATTTGCTCTCAAAGCACGAACTGGCTTAGCTACCCAGTGGTTGATCTTAGGTTGATATACTCTCCAAAAGCTTGTTATATCTCCGGACCTAGTATTTGATGAGCTAGACATCTTAACAATTCGATAGGTTAGTTAAGGAGTCTAATGAACAGTCAATCTTGATCATAAAGCATGTTTTCACCTTATAATAACATGCGATAGTTGAGTCTATTAGGGTAGAAAATGTAGAAGGTTAGTTACGTCACGACAGTGAGATGACCTTACATTAGTGATATGAGTTCTAGAACAACTAGTCTAAAAATCCTAATTCGATTGCTTGTGTTTTGCATATGTTTTGTGAATTGCTTGAATTCTCATCTTAATTGATCTATCTATCCCTTTAATTATTGCTTGTTATTTGCTTCAATAAAAACCCTAAAAACCAAATAATATTTTTTCCTTAGCTTAATTCGAATCATATAGGTTTGTAGTGCATTCATCACCTAGTCCTTGTGGATCGACCCCTAAGTACTACAATTGTCTACTGTGCACTTGTAGTTTCATAGGGTTATAAATTTAAAACCTGCACGCATCTAAACCCTGCACACTGCCGACCGGTACCGCGCAATTCAATCGTCTTAAACATTATCCTCCATTCAAAAGAGATGTGATAGAAAAGAGGAGACATTGGAGATACAAAGCATGGTTTCGATTCATACGGGATACGAAATGCTCAAAAACAACGAAGATCTAAGATTGATCACGACAACCTAAGATTTTTGCCGAAATAGCTCAGCTCACCAGTACTATCATTCTATTCTCTATATTTTTGATTATTCTTTTCAAATGAATTTTCATCATTACTCCCTTAATTTGAT